TATTCTACGTTACAGAATTATCTGAGATATTTCCACATGGAAGAAAAAACTATTGTATTTTGAGCTATTTTTGTGAACAATTAATATTTTAATGGAGATTAATTTATCTTACAGTTTTATCCTTCGTTAGCTTAATGTGTTGCCGTATATCATTTTTAAGATGTAATAATCCCTCTAAATTTTCCCAACAGTGAAATGCAGTGAAAAAAAAAAAAAAATGTTTACAGCCTAATGCCTCCATATTCATAAGTGTAAGAATTTCATAAACTGCAGATAAGGCTTCAAGCTAAGGCTTAGATTTACACTTGTATATGTTTTATAAAGGAAAAATCAGATTGTAAAATAGACACAAATCGTTGAAAAATCTGTGAAGTAGGTCAAACAGGCATGTTTGTCTCCTGCCACAGATTAAGTTTAATGTATCCTTTCAACAATACATGTCTATTGCTCTAAATTCTAGTGATCTAATGGAGGTGAGGTGGCTTTGTGAATTATAGGACTATAACTTGCGTTCATTCCCGATTAAAATATATGTAATTCATAGCAGTGATAAAGTATATTCACAGAAATGTTTTATTAGTCGTTCCTATTCTACAGATTTTAAGTACCATCTTTTCCATTTGTGATTTGTCTAATCTGCCACAATGTCTGTTGTTAAAGGGACACTCCAGGCACCCAGACCCCTTGTGCCCATTGTAGTGGTGCGGGTGCCAACTACCACCACCCATAACCCTGCAAGTGTAATTATTGCAGTTTTTTATAAACTGCAATAATTACCTTGCAGAGTTAACTCCACCTCAAGTGGCTGTCTACTAAACAGCCACTAGAGGGCACTTCCCGCATCATAGCACAGGAAACCTGTGCTAGAGCGTCGCTGGACGTCCTCACGCTATGTGAGGACCTCCAGCGTCGCTCATTTTCCCCATAGGAAAGCATTGAAAAGCATTTTCAATGCTTTCCTATGGGGAGCTCTAATGCGCATTGCCGCACATGCGCATTAGGTTTCCCCGGCCGGTGTGACGCAATGCAGAGGAGGAGCAGCGGCGGAGGAAGAAGCAGCGACATGGGACATGTCGCTGCCTCTGGTAAGTGACTGAAGGGGTTTTTACCCCTTCAGCAACCGGGGATGGGAGGTGGGAGGGAGAGGGGACCTGCAGTGCCAGGAAAACGGATTGTTTTCCTGGCACTGGAGTTTTACTTTAAGCGTTTTATATTTGTATTGAGGATGGATGGCTGTCAACCATCAAAATCCATTTCCGCTATTACTTAAGTAAATGTTCATTACATTAAAGGGTCACTTCCAGTATCATAAAAACGAAAACTGCACAGGATTGATATAAGCCACCCCAGAACTCTAATTCCCTTGGTTGCTGATGATTCCCCTATGATGCGGCTAGAAGTGGAGCTACACCACCTCCAGCACCAGAGGGGTTAATTTCTGAATTGCAACATTTCAAAGTGAAACACTGCAGATTCCAGGCACACATGCAGATTCCGGGCACCATGACCACTTCAAGTCACTGGAGTGGTCATGGTGCTTTCATTAAACCTTTAACAAGAAACAACTATTCAGATATTTACAACAATGAAAGTATGCCAGTAACAAGTTTAAAATAATATGACTAATATTAGGGTGTTTTTTTTTTAAAGGAACACCCAGGGCACCATAACCACTACAGCCACGACTTCCAATCTATCCCTTTAGGAGAGTCCAGTTAGCTCTACAGAGCTAAGCAGAACCATGTAGGACTGTGCTCACAGGCTGAGAATGTTCTTTTTTTTTTTACAATTCTTTATTTTTGTAGTGCATAGTTCTTGGTACAGGAATTCAAAGACATTGTGAATGGTAGCATTAGAAGGAGAAAATCAGAGGGTTAAGACATGTCAAAAACACTGCACTTTTTTTAATCAATCAATTACATGCAAATAAACAATATCTCTTCAAATCAAGCATGGTTTCAATGTGTGGGAGTCGCTAATATTGCGATGGAATTGCACAGGTTTTTTATGAAACATGTGAGCTTCAAAGCGCTGGCACTTACTCAAGAAAACAGTTAAGATAAAATAAAATAAGTGAGACACTAAAGTATGTTCATAAATTGACCCCTAGGAAGGGATCTGGTATGGTAAGTCTAATGGATGTTTTGGGGTATCCCTGCTTTTACGTTTATCCCGATATGAGGGATGTGCTTAGAGCAGCCAGTGAAGGAATATTGACCCCTTAAGGACACATGACATGTCATGATTCCCTTTTATTCCAGAAATCTGGTCCTTAAGGGGTTAAACAATTAATCTGTCAGTATTTCAGAACTGCTTGCAAAACATAACTGAAAGGAAGTCACAAGCTATGACAGTTTCTATGTATCAGGAAATGCCTAACCACAATGTATATGTAATATTTTGTAAGATTAGATTATTGAATGTAACAGCAGAAACTGCTTCCTCTTTTATGTATCTTGTGTAACCTTTTTGTAACCTTTTGTAACCAATATTCGTGACAAATATTGTATAAATACAGAGCATTTTGAATACATTGTCAGAAGATTATGGAAAGCAAAGAGTGTGCGTCTGGTTAATACGCTTCCATAAAAATCTTCCCTGAATATTCAGCTGACAATCGAGGGTTGGAGAATAGTGACCAGAGGGACCGAGTCACCAGAGTAGCAGATTTACCTTTCAGCTTGGTGTCAGAAAGTGGGATTGTAGCCAAAACCATTTTGGGTGAGTAGTAATTCCTTGTGTCTATCTTGACGCCCTGAATCTATGATCCCCATGGTTTTGTAAGTCTACATCATTTTAGGAAAGGTTATTTAGTATATGTGTTTTCTGTGACTCAGTTTTACATAAGGTCCCGTTAAATTAGTCTAGTAAGGGAACTAGACAGAGAGATATATGTATTTCTAGTAAGTGAACTAGAGAAGGTCTAATAAGAGAATTAGACAGATAAAAGGAAGTCTATAAAGTGATATAGACAGAGAATTTAGTATATAAGTGAATATACTACGATAGTGTGCACAGAGTTTCAGGTTCACCTTGTCCACCCTCTAATTGTCATTAGTTAAGTCTGGTTCTGAGTGTGAATAAGTGTTTGAAAGATTTGTCCTAGGAATGGGAAATTACCATGTAAGAATATGAAGTAGTTAACTTTTCTTGTTCATATGTATTTTATGCTTAAATAAGGTTTATAATCATTAGTGCTGACTGTAAGGATATGAAATAGTTAAACTCTTTTTGCTTTATATGCTAGCCCTGAAAATATACTCACTGAGAATCTTGTTAAAGCACATTTGTAGTGTCCATGTCTTTATTGCAAACAATGATTCTCCATCAATTGGGTGATTGTCTATATTGGGGACACACTTTGGTAAGTTAGTAGTGTGTCCACCCTGAGTCAGCAGTATGGGAAATGTAAGTTCTGGTCCTGAGTGACCAATATATATACATATATATATGATAGCAGTACTGTATATTAGACAAGAACTGACTCGCAGGTTGTACCTGATAGACCTACTTAAATCTTTTTACTTTATTCTTTCTGTCGCATAGAAGTATAAGTTTATTACTCTGTTTTATTGCAAGTTATTTCACATGGGATCTGTGTGCCTGGTATGATTGTTACTTTAATACCATAAGCCCACTACACTTTCTATGAGAGTGGGATAGTGTAAATGTGTTACATTGTTTGCATGATGAGCTCAGTATTTTTAGAACTGAGACAAAAAGTCACTTCATTAGTATTTGAACGTTAATTCCCCATATGGGATTAATTGTATAGAAACACCAATCAGCACATCTTCCCTGCCCTGTGTGTTTGTTGCAAAGGATCCATACCATTAATATGATTTTTGTTTGTAAATAAGAGAGCAACATTTACATTTTCAGCGGTCCAACACATGCTTCATTTTGTGCTGTAAGCTAACCTTTTTATTGCTACAGATGCTTTAAATGATTCAGCTACTGCATATGTTTTGTGTCTTCTATGTCTCACATTATATGTGTTCTGTTCTTTTAAATTGTGGTATATAGCCTGGATCAGAGATTATGGACAAAGGTTTCTACCTGTTTTACTAAGGCTCTTGGAGACTGACCGGTCTAAGGTTTGCCATGCCTTTTAAACATGGTATAGAATAATTTTTTTTAAGTCTCTGAGAGTTCTGTAAGATTCTGGTGAAACCATGTCTGTGTAATCTGGTCCAAATGTTTGCTCAATTTCTATAAGATTTAAGTTGATGCAGCATCACTTCAGATTAGTTAATGGAAGTTTCATACAAATATTTGAGTTATGAGTGCGCTATATAAATGGATCCTTTCTCTATATACAATACTATAGTAGATTAAAGTAATGAAGTTAATAAGAATTAAAAAAAAAAAAAAGTATACATAAGAATCCCTAAAATAAATCTAATATAAACTAAAATTGGTATACCTTACAATAATATGTTCTGAGTACAGCTGTTAACTGTTTATTCTGTGTAAATGGTGATTGTGATAATGTGTGAAGTGTGCAGCTTACCTGGAAAGTGGTTTAATTTATATGTTGCTGTGTTGTTTTAAATTATATGTGAATCAGTTTGTCTCAGTTTAGTGATACTGATACAAATGCCAGCCAAATAACCCAGCAAATAACGGTTTTATTAGCTGTTGAATACTAGCATTCTGGCCAAGAATAGTTGGAGTAGTTCTATGAGCTCAGAGAGTGTTGTGGTCTGATATAGCTATATGGGAATGGAGATTTGGAGGTGTTAGTTTAAGACTGCTTTCATATTGTGTCTACCCGTGTTTCCTAGGAGGGACACAGAGTGTGTAGTTGTGTGCTCATGAATGTGTTTTCTATATTGGCATATCTGCTGGGTACCCGATACGTGTATCTACTACGTCTGTTTTGTGAGATGTCTGTTTTGTGAGATGACATGTAATATTACATTGAATGCTGAGTATGAGTTATATGGTTTGAAATGAATTGGTGTGTTATGTGTTTCATGTATTTTATTGTCCATTGTGTAGGAGTTTAACTAGCAGAGTGATTTGCATATCATTAACGCAAGCATTTAGTGTTTTTACAAAAGGTGAAATGCTGTCCAGCCGGCTAGAATGAAACAATTGTATGCTATCGCTCTGGAGCACGAAAAGCGCTTGTTACATCCCACGTGAAAGGGGCCCCGCAAACTTCTGCTGTTCAAATCGTGGCTCCACATTTCCATTTGCAAACTGATTAATCCTGAAAGTCATTCTTTTACTGATAAAAAGGATTGAATGGACAAGATGTCTCTCCCTCATAAAGGAGTTCTAATAGGGGAGTATTGTCCAGCTCAGAGTTAACTCTACTTTTAAAGTATATTGCATTGTTTGTGTCAAAGTAAGATTCATCTAGTATGCCACCTTGATTATGGGGTAATAATAAAATGGTATTTTAATAGAGATTAGACAATTTCTGAAATTTATAAGTGAGGTAATTTTAATCTCCTAAACTACTGTATTATATTTGTATGGGTAAATTGAAAGCATTTTGCAGATCCAGAAGAGCATTAATAAATAATATAATAATCTCACTAGGAGCCAAATTATGCAAAGAGGCTATCCAAAGTATGCACTAACGGGTTAAACTTGTTTTCTTGATAAGCGTATAACATTTAGTTTTGTGGTTAGACTTTTGATACTCAATTTGAAATATGTCCCAATTACATCCTTGCATGGCACCAGGTACAGGTAGCAATATGTGTTTTAAAAATTTGCAAGGTCTTAGTGTTTTCAATATATTATAATAATGGAAAAGTACCTAACCGCATGTCTGCATTACGCTCATGACACAGACTGTCAGTATTGCAAGCCCTATATGAAGGCTATGCTTTCATTGTTGATGTATATACCCCTAGACAACCTTGCTTTATATACAAAATTTAACTATCCATACAGCCTTTAAAAGCTTATTAATATTATATCTGTGTGGTACACAAAGAGGGGGCTGTGAGTTAGGTAATCCCATCCTGCATATGGAATAAAGGCAGAGGTAGAGGATTTAGTCAAAGGGTCTAACTTTTGTAGAGGTAACAACTTCAGCATTGGTGGAACACACTGTTCTAATTGTGGATAGCAGGGTCACTGGAAAAATGAGTGCCCAAACCCACCCCCACAGATTCCTCAATACCAACCATAGCTTCCAACCTATACCCACACCCAACAACCCCAGCCTAATACACAGATGGTTCATGTTTGTAATATTTTATATAGTTTTAGGTGTTAATCCAAGAGTATTGAATTATTCGCGAGTATTAAAGTAATTAATTTTGAATATCAAATCAAGGTTCCAGTTTAGGAACAGAGTTTTATTGGGAATTATCCCCATATGTATATGTTAGTGTTTTAATATTCATCCTAACAAGGATTTCTATAGAGTGAGTGCTACTCTTATCCGTGCAAAGGCATTCCAAAGGGGTATTATGTAAAACTTTATAGAAGACAGATTGCATAAAATATAAGCAAATATAAGAGAGGTACATGCTAAACGAGTTAAGGGTTTAACCTTAATCTCTAATTTAAGTTTTAGCCTAGGTAATTAATTAATGATGTTGTATTGATCCTTGTGTTTGTATGATTGTAGAGACCGTCCTGGAGTGTTTGTGCCGCCTGATTTCTGGGACTACACACCAATCTCTCTGGCTGACCATGCAATAAGTATTTTGCAATTACATCTGTTTGGTCATTATCCATGCAGGCCGAAGAAACTGAGATACTTATTTATGAGGACATAAACTTTGCACGCAAGAACCTGGAAAGTCCTGAAGGTGCAGTGCTGTCTAATACCGCTGGTTCTGTAATAACCCTTTCAACCATTGGGGTGTTGCACAGAGCTTTGTGGTGAAAATCCAGCAAACAAAAGAAGAACTAAGAACTATATGGAAGCTGACATTGTCTTGTTGTCAGCCATATTGCTACCCTTAGCCATTTTTATGGAACAAAATGTTTGGTGTCTAAACTGATTTCTTTATACTCTGTGAAAGACTTATTCTATTTTTCTGAACTATGCTGAACTATTGAACTATTTTTATTTTTGTAGAGTTAGCCAGAGAGAGAGGAAGTGTTAGCTGACCCAGGGATGGATGTACTATGTGTGTTTTTGATATATGTTGAGTGTGCCAGGGATGGATTCCCATGTTTTGAGGAACTGCGTGAGGATATGACTGGTTTTGACTGGACTTTTGGAATAGGGAAATGGTTAAAAGATATAGGACGCAAGGTCCTGGTTGTGCTATAATATAGTTGCTATAAGCCCAAGTTCCATTCTGTCTTAAACATCCATTTTCTATATATCTGTCTGCAAAAGTATTAAGTGTTTTTGTTTTGTTTTTTTTCTGCTGAGTTTCTGTTTCTTGTAGACCACATGATTGCTTGGGAATGCCATAATGTGGAAATTTCTCTGTCTTGGGAGAATGTTAACCGATGATATGAGCAATACATATTGCTCAAAGAGGGGTAACAATTGTGATTATTGGGGCTCAGTTGGATGGAACACCGGGACAGATTGGGGTTATACCTTAAATATTGAAAACCCCAGTCCTGGAGATCAAGGTATTTATATTCTTGTTAATCCTCTAAAGCCCCACATTCAAACCCTTGGTGATATGATGGCCATAGCAGATCCCACGTTTGGAGATACCACAGCGTTAGAAACAGGGTATGCAGATACAAACCTATGGCTGGAATGGTTGAGATATAATGCCCATTCCAGCAATAGGTCAAACTGTTATGTATGTGGTAGTGCCAGACCTCATCTAGGAACTGTACCCTTACATGTCCCTGATGAGTACTGGGAATGTTTCCTAAGTTTGTTTTCAGGTATCACTGTTAATACTACAGAATGTGAAGAATGGAAAAAGGGTCACCCTATTGGTGAACCCAAGTTTAATTTAAATGATGTTGTCCCAGTATATCCTGGTAATTATACTTGTTTTCAGGGAAATAATAATGGTAAGGTGGGTACACAATTTGATAACTTTTCTTCAGGATTCTGCTCCGCCTACAGTAATATTACCTTAGTGAATCAAACACAATCTATATAAAAATACGTTCTAGACTCCCCACCCCCTGGAGAGGAGAATGTGCCCCAGCCAAAATAATCATGCCCCTCCATATATTTGGCGACTCTCTCCCTGAAATTAAGGTTGTAACTGATTCCACAAGAAGGAAAAGGGAATCCCCACAAGGTAGTTTCGACCCACATATCTATCTAGATGCCATTGGTATTCCAAGAGGGGTTCCTAATGAATTTAAAGCTAGAGACGAGGTAGCAGCAGGATTTGAATCAATATTTCCCATTATAACAGCTAACAAGAATGTTAACTGGATTAATTATATATATTATAATCAGCAAAGATTTGTAAATTATACACGAGATGCATTACAAGGTCTTGCTGAACAATTACAGGCTACCTCACAAATGACTTTCCAGAATAGAATGGCCCTTGATATGATTTTAGCAGAAAAGGGAGGAGTCTGTAAATTACTTGACTCCAGTGTTTGTTGTACCTATATTCCAGAGAACACTGGCCCTAATGGTAAAGTAACCCTAGCTATAAAGAAATTGGAAGACCTGTCCATAGAAATGAAGAGGAATTCAGGTATTGATCACCCATGGGCAGATATGTTTAAGTTTGACAGTATCCTAGACTGGCTAAAGAATATTGCAATACTTATTGTTATGGTTCTGATCCTTGCTCTACTTGTTTATGCTATTTTCAAGATTATTGTATTCTGCATTTACAAACATACAAGCAACACTGTTCCTGTAAAATCCCCAGCTTGAAATGATGAGTATCTCCAAATGTATACACATAACCGAAGCAATGGTGAACATACTGATACAGATCTATAAGTTTGTGGTGCTGGTCAGATGCCTAGTCCTATGCTATGGGAATAGTGGCCGAAGACATAATGAAAGACCTGCAGGATTGGCTAGCAATCCTGAATATACCATGGCAGATGGCTGGTTGTCTGACCAGGACTCCTTAAATAGGGTATGAGCAAGATATTGCTCAAAGAGGGGGAAATGAAGGAATATTGACCCCTTAAGGACACATGACATGTCATGATTCCCTTTTATTCCAGAAATCTGGTCCTTAAGGGGTTAAACAATTAATCTGTCAGTATTTCAGAACTGCTTGCAAAACATAATTGAAAGGAAGTCACAAGCTATGACAGTTTCTATGTATCAGGAAATGCCTAACCACAATGTATATGTGATATTTTGTAAGATTAGATTATTGAATGTAACAGCAGAAACTGCTTCCTCTTTTATGTATCTTGTGTAACCTTTTTGTAACCTTTTGTAACCAATATTCGTGACAAGTATAGTATAAATATAGTGAATCTTGAATAAACGATCAGAAGATTATGGAAAGCAAAGAGTGTGCGTCTGGTTAATACGCTTCCATGAAAATCTTCCCTGAATATTCAGCTGACAATCGAGGGTTGGAGAATAGTGACCAGAGGGACCGAGTCACCAGATTAGCAGATTTACCTTTCACCATGTAGATGACATAACGACAGGTGAATTGGAAGTAGCTTAGAGGCATTTAGAATGTCTGTTTTGCTTAACAAAGCTCCCACAACTGCAGATATGATGGTTTGAACAACGTCATCTATCGTGGTGTACTGTAAGAAGAATTCTTCAGATGGAATCAATTAATTCAAGCTGGGAATGGTGGAGGAGTGAGGTGCTGAAAGATCAATAATCAGTCTCTTTTTTTTAAAGAGTGTTTTCCAGTTGCAATACCTGTTGGGTTTGTACGCCAATTAGAAAATGGGGGTGAGGAAAAGGGGCCTATGATGAACCCTTGATTCAGTTCCTGCTTTAACAGTGAATCAACTGAACCTGGGTCGTTGACAGCTGACTGTAGGTTTTTACTTTCAGTGATACTGGATGGTAACGCTACGATACCCGTGTGAAAGCCCTCAGAAAATCCTGAAACCAAGAAGTCAGTGAACTGTGGTGAAGGGTGAGATGCTAAAGGTTGAGACAACTGAATTATATTTACAGATGTGAAATACTGTTTGGAATGTAATTTATTAGGGCACATGGTCTTGGAATGAGCATGGAAAAATAGGGTACACACATGTAACAATCTACAAGCACTAAACCCGCAGGCCCCTGCATTGAAATTATTGCAAATCTGAGATTTGCCAAGGAATACAATAGGCCTGCCAAGCTTATCATTTATGACCTTCTCAGATCTTGCAGGCAACCCAGGGTTTTGCTGAACTGCGACTGAGGTGTCAGCGGGACAGAGGTTAGTACTGTGGGAGGTTGAAGAACATAAAGCACAAGCTGGTGTCCTGAGGCCGGCGAAATATCTGCAAAACAACTCTGTATCCAGCTTACTCCAATTAACAACAGTATTGAACTGGGCCAGAGTTGCTGCCGCCTTAGCTGAAAAAGACCTATGATAATCATAGAAAGCATATCCGCCATATTTGTGCCCCAAGTCAACCAGCTTGTGCATGTATGTATCCAATTCTTCTCTTCTCTGAGGCCAATTGGTACATACTACATCTCTATAGATACCAAATGCCAGTACGAACTCGGGGATGGTTAGTTTTTTACTGAGTCTGGGATCTCTGGCTTTGAGGACTACCGATAGGTCCCCATAAGCATAGGTCTTGTTCTCCACTAGATCCTGAGCAGCAATAAGGAGTGATATCAGATTCACACCCTTACCCTCGAGGATATCTTTACGTATCTGAGGAGGCACCATTTGAGCAGGTGTGATCATCAGTGTATCTATCTGTGATACGGGACCAAAATATTACCCTGTAGAATTGCTGTAGGGATGTAGCACTGGACAATGGTGGGTTAGTTGCCGAATTCGAATCTGTCAGTTCCATCTCTGATCTGGCCCATGGAAGATAGCAGAGAGTTCATCATGGTCTGTAAGTCGGGCATGTTGATGGTACCACTAGACCCTTCCCCTGCTCCAGTGTTATTGCTGTTCGTGTGCATCAATCTGAACAATTCCGCTTTAGCCGAGAATGGAATTCTTCTTCTCCTTAGTTCCGCTTGTATGCGTGGTATGGTCCATGACCTAATTGATGAAGGGCTGGCAGATTCTTGTCCTCTAGAAGGTGAACCAGACCTAGCTGGAGTGCAAGGAAGTGAAAGCTCATCTCCTCCTTCTGGAGCTTGTGACATACTAAAAAGGAAAATCTGAGATTTAGAATGTTTACCTGTAGGGTATTGGCTCCTGACTAGTGCCAAGTGGCGAAGATATTTCCTTCAGTGGTGATAGAGAGGCTCTATCTATACGTTGGACCAAGGGGCTATACCACGGAACAAAGTGGTGGGATGTCGGCCTCTCCGTGAGGTGTAAAAGAAGACAGAATTGGCCGTGACCGGTGAGGCTAGGATATTCTCTCGAACAAAGCGCTTTATCTATAGCAGCTAGGAAAGCATTATGGTTCTGCTTCTTGGATGATGACTCATCCTCAACCTCTAGAAGGTGAACCAGACATAGCTGGAGTGCAAGGAAGTGAAAGCTCATCTCCTCCTTCTGGAGCTTGTGACATACTCAAAAGGAAAATCTGAGATTTAGAATGTTTACCTGTAGGGTATTGGCTCCTGACTAGTGCCAAGTGGCGAAGATATTTCCTTCAGTGGTGATAGAGAGGCTCTATCTATGCGTTGGACCGAGGGGCTATACCACGGAACAAAGTGGTGGGATGTCGGCCTCTCTGTGAGGTGTAAAAGAAGACAGAATTGGCCGTGACCGGTGAGGCTAGGATATTCTCTCGAACAAAGCGCTTTATCTATAGCAGCTAGGAAAGCATTATGGTTCTGCTTCTTGGATGATGACTCATCCTCAAATTCTGCCACTCTATTTGAAGGGGAGCTGCTGTTTGGGAACACTTTTGATGAATCTATTAAGAGGCATATGAGGGCTGCAAGGTATTTACCTCAGGACTGAAGATCCAGGAATCCGGTTCCTCAGGGTCAGACAGGATAACCTCCAGTGAACAGCATTTCTGAGAAACAAGGAATTACTGACCCTGCAGGGTATACTCCAGAGGTAACTCGTGGCAGTTGGTAACCTGCCTTTCAAGGTTATAATAGAGCTATGAAGAAGGTATAGCACTGAAGCTTCAGACACAAGAGTCAAGAGAATTCAGACAGATGAATCCAAGGTAGAGCACTGAAGGAATATGTATGAAACCTTCTGGACAAAGATGTGCTTTCTTAGGTCCCTTAACAAGAGCGGTTCCTGGGAGATTATTTGTCTCTCTTCTGATGCTAAAAGTAAAGGTACATGAAAGTCCATATTGGACCTAACAAGGGCCAACAATAGGCTGAATGACAGAGCCTTTGGGATGGAGTCAATCAGATCCATATCCCCAACAATTTGGAAGGACAAGTTCCATATCTCTATATATCTCAATGATGCTTACTATCATTCCAATAGTCCTAGAACTTCAGCATTATCTCAGAAGAGAACCTTAAATTAGTGCACTACCATTTGGCTTCACTGCTGCCCCAAGAACCTTATGTGTGCTTATAGTGATACTGAGAGTCCAGAACACCACCTGGTTCCATTATCTGGATGATCTACTACTGGTAGCTTCAGACCCACAAAAGGAAGGCGCACAGAGGGTTAGCGTTCTTTCAGAACACCTGAACTTTGGCTGCTTGATGAATACTAACAAGAGCAGTCTCACGCCAGCTCAGAGGATGACTTTTCTGGGTGGAGTATTCTATACTCTGCTTTCCCCTATCTCAGGAGCAGTTCCACAGATGGTGGAAGTGTTCTCTTCCAGTTTCTTCATTTTTGCTTGGTAACTGCAAGAAAGTAGATGCAACTACTAGGAATCCTGGCTTCCACCATCAGACTTGGCAGATGGGCTCAATGGCATCTCAGGATTCCTCAAAGGTCATTCCTATTTAAGTTCAACAAGAGAAAGATGAATTGGGGATAGCCACTGACAATGTCACCATCAGTGGAGTTACACCTTACTTGGTAGCTGACAGAGAGAATATGTCTCTGGGTTTCCTATAACAGAACTTCATTGGGTGATTATAAGCTCATGTTCAAGGATTGGATACACATTGTCTAGACCATGTTACACAAGGTCTGTAAATAAGGGAAGGAACAATATTTCCATCCATTGTTATGGAATTATGAGTAATTTCAGGGCTCTTCTTCACTTCGGAAGGTTGCTGAAGAACAAGTGGGTCCGAATTTGCTCAAATATCAATGCAAATGGATCCTGTATCAATCATGAAGGTGGGTCTCACAGCTACTTATTGATTACCTGAGCCAAGTAACAGTGGTCAAGGTGGAATGGCAACTTTGTCCCGACAAATCCTCAGGGTCCTGTCCTGCCCATGTTATGCTTATGTTTTCCTAATGTATTGTGTACATGTTCTGGGTTTAGCGTTCTATCCTTCTCTGGGTCTTGGTTCTATTAGTTCTATCTTGTTTTTCATGTTTGTAGCCTTTGCTAGTCTTTCCTTGTTTCTGTGCTGGATAAATATCTGCTGCAGTACCTCCCTATTCAGCTCTGGGAGGTCTGCTCAATTCTTGCTCCTAGCTCCTGGGATCCGCATAAGCTGAATCAGGGTTCTGGTATGTGGCTGCACAAACGCTGGTGCTCAACACCAGGGGGCGTGCGGTTACCCTGCACCAGACCCTGCTAATCCACCTCCACACTATGACTCCTACTCTGAACATCAGGCATACTGGGTCCTGGTCCTCGCACCGCCGTCCGGACTGTGTCTGGGTCCCGGGCACCGGACCGCCACCCTGACACTGGTAAGCTTGGGTTTTCCCATGTGTATATGCTGCCATGATTACCTAGGAAAGAGGAAAATATATCCATACTTGCTGTAATTTTCTTTTCCTGGCTATTATTCATTGCAGCATATACTACCCACCCAGTGTTGGTTTTACTTCTTCTGTGGAGCTTGTTACTGACTGAGGGACCTATGCAGGGTTACTCTTTTTAAAAGAATTTGGTGTATTCCTGTCCTATCGGCTGTAAGGTAACCCATGTGTATATGCTGCCATGAATAACAGCCAGGAAAAGAAAGTTATGGTAAGTATGGTAAAATGTATAATGCTGATGATAAATGCTAACTTTAGCCACGGTTTGTGACTTAGCGCTACCAGGGCCGGCCCAAGACATTGTGCGGCCTAGGTCCAATGATAAAATGCTGCCCCTCTCCCCAAAACCATGCTCACCAAAATACACCCACATCCAATAATTTATGCAGTGTGTGTAGTGAATACATTGTGCATATGTGTGTAGTGGAAGCAGGGTGTGTTTGTGTAGTGGATGCAATTTTATTTCTTTTGAATAGTGGATGCAGTGTCGGGTAGTGGATACAGTGTGTCTTTGTGGTGTGGGCTGTAGGGAGGGGAGCAGGTGTGTGTGTGTATATATATATATATATATATATATATATAAAGGCTTGGCCTGTAATTGTGGGAGGTAATTTTTTTCCTACTTAAACCCTGTGAGCCCCTACTCACCTGTCAGCG